CGTGCACCTGCTTAACTTATTGTTAAACGACAATCAGCCGAATTACACCAAACATAGAAGTGCATACAGCTGAAATAGAAAACCAATACTCGACCTACGAAGAAGTCCCATTTGAATGGAATGATATGGAATTGATATTGATATGGAATTTCCATTCCGAATACTTGTTTCCTTCACTGCTCTAGCGATGATTATACTGGCCGATAACATCGAAGATTTACAGATGATGCTACATAGAGTTAATACAACTGGCAGTCGATTGGACTGAAGATCAATAGAAAGAAAACTAAATTTATGGTGATCAGTAAAAAAAAATTTCAACATATCGACCTGCATATTGAAGACGAACGTATTGAAAGAGTACACCGATTTAAATATCTGGGATATACAGTAAATGACAAGTGGGACCCAGAAGTAGAGATTAAGATCCGAATTGAAATAGCAAGATCCAAATTCATCAAAATGAGAAAGCTCTTAAGCAACCGCAACCTAAGCCACCTCCGATGGCACGCCACGAAATGCTACGTACTCTCTACGCTACTTTACGGCGTAGAAGGGTGGACGTTAACAGCAGCAACTATAAAGAAGTTAGTGGCTCTAGAAATGTGACTGTATCGGCGCATACTGAGAATACCTTGGACAGACAGAGTGACCAACACAGAGGTATTAAGACGAATGGGTAAAGAGGTGGAATTGTTAACAACTGTTAAAAGGAGAAAGCGTCATACCTGGGCCATGTGTTCCGTAATGATAAGTACAGTCTGCTACAGCTTATCGTGGAAGGCAAGATTGAAGGTAGAAGAGGTTTGGGCAGAAAGAAGAAATCCTGGCTGAGAAACTTGAGAGAATGGTTTCAAATACCAGAAGCTGCGAACATAATTCATGCGCACAAAACAGAGAAACCTATCGTATGATGGTCGCCAACCTTCGGTAGAAGACGGCACATAAAGAAGAAAGAAGAAGCGATGATTAAATATTATTTTAAATAAGGTCGGAGATAGACAACATCCTTGTTTAAGTCCCTTTGTTATTGGAAATGATTCAGATATAAAGTTTCATTCTTTAACGAAATTTCTTGCATTTTTGTATATATTTGCGAAAGCATCCACATACTCTCTACTGAGAGTCAATGTTTGAAACAGTTTTTTCAAAGGTACCGTATGGTATGCTTTCTCTAAATCTACAAACAATAGGTGGGTAGATAGATTCCTTGCCTTCCGTTTTTTAATTACCTGCAACAAAACGAATATACTATCAGTGCACGACCTTGCTGCAAGAAATCTATTTTGTTATTTTATTTCTTCATATTCTGATACTATTCCTTCTTTTATTTTTCGACCGTACAACCTCCCCACTGAGCTGATAATAATTATAGCAAGATCGTTTGTTTTGCCACCTGTATATATGTACGAAATATTTTCAAAATACAATAATTTACAAAGGGTGCTCGAATTTCTATTACTTAGTATATTTACAATAAACTTACTTGTCGTTGATTTCTTTCTTATCATGAAAAAGAAATTTACAACTCATCGAACATTATTTTTTACCCTCATTTATAAATTCCTTATAATTTCCAACCAGAGTCCATCAATGAAGCTCCATTAGAGATGTATGCAGCCGAGGCGAGGAGTATTTTTAAAATCTCATATCCCTTTTACGTTTAAAAATCAAATTGAAAACAGTGCTAAAAGGCCCCAATTAAATTAAGTTTCCTTTTCAAGCAGTAGACTGAATAGAAAGTCAGTGAAACGTATAAAGTCACTATTTCAGTAAGAATTTATTTAAAACGGGAGAGGTTTTCCTGACAAAATAAATCTGCAGCTTTTGAAAACTTAATGCGAGATTTAAATATCTAACGAAACAGAAATGGAATGACGTTTCAAACTTTTCTTCGCCTTCTATCTTTATATTAAACGTTCATATTTGCGACGTCAATGTTGGCCAATTTGCTCTTTTGTAGATTTTACTTCTTTCTAAAGATCACGAAAAAGGAGAAATATAAAAAAGTTTATAACACCATAAATACAGAGATAAGAAATGTATAAGAAAAGCAGTGGAGAAATTGTATAACGAAAACAAATCAAGAAATCAAGTCCAGATGCGAAACTGTTTTCAACATACAAATTTTTCCATAGGTTTTTGTCTAGGTTTTACTCTCTTTCGCTTTTCATGTGGTTCTTCCATCACTATCTTATCGTCTGCATAATAGAGAGTGTAAAGCTCGGTGTCTCTCAGTGGAATTCGCATTCCATGGCATTTTTACTTCCATTTTTTCCGTATTCCGTATTTGTTACATGCTTCTACAACTTTATCCATCAACCTTTGAAGCCCCTGCGCACTATCTGCCAGCAACACTGTATCGTCTGCATATCTAATGTTTTTTATAAGTTTGCCATTTACAGCAATCCTTTTTCGACTGTGAAGATCTCGGACAGTTCGTTTTCTAATCGTACTGTTGCTTTTTGTTGAAGATATAAGTTTGAGATCAGCCTTATATTCTTGCCTGCTCTAAATCCAAATTGAACTTCACTCAGATGTTCTTCTAATTTGGTGTATATGCGCGAGTGAATGGTAAGTAGTACTTTAAGTACATGGCTCATCAAACTAATTAATCTATGTTCTTCACATTTTCTAACGTTGGCTTTTTTAGGATTTGGAATAAATATTGTTGTAGTTGTATGGTTAACGTTAAAATCGAGTTCAACAACTGCAACATCGCCACCTGGTGGATTATTATCCGTATCAAAATGTGGTTGTGGATCTTTATCTATATTGCATTTATCCATGCTGTTCTCCTTGTTATCTGAACGGTCTTCTTCTGTTGTTGAGATTGTAGGGTCATTTAACTTGGGAGCGATAAATGTGTTGAGTTGTTTTTCATTTTTGATCTTCAGCCAAACTTGGAAAAGACTTAAATGTTGTATATTTCCGTTCCACGTATCCGAGTCTGCTGCATTAAATTCTTGTAACAAGCCAGGGTCAATGCAGGTCTCTAACATTGTTGAAATGTTTTTTTTGTGGAGTTTCTTCCACGGGAATGGATTATTGTGAATTTCTGTATTATTTGACTTGAAATATTTTTGGTAGTTGATTGCATCGGCGTTGAATGGGCACAAACCGTCAGCACGAAAACCATTCAATATAATTTTCAGAGTAATGGAATTCTCGATGGCTTTTGCTAGAACTGGTCCAAAATTCTCCTTCTTCATTTTTGAACCATTGTTTTCTATGTTCCAATTGTTTACTTTATTTCTCTAGCAATTTTTTAGGGGTCTTAAAACGGCTACATCCATCGGCAGCGTAATATGTATCGAATTAGGATGCGATGCAATAAGAATAATTTTTCTTTCAGTACAGAAATCACTAAGAGGCAAAGTCAAGTGACTAGAAAGTCCATCAACGAAAAATATAATTGGAAACTAAATTTCATTTTCCACAGCCCAAGGATAAAAAACGTTTGTTATATACTCATAGAAAGTTTCCGCGGTCATCCATTCACTTTCACTTTTACCAATTGCAAAACATTTTGGCATAGAAGCAGATATACCCGGTGGAATCAGTTTATAAGCAAACATCACCATGCTTGGGCCAATGTTTCCTGCTGCGTTTGCTGTCATAAGAACAGTAAGGCACTCTCTCTCGTCATTTGGGAGATGGCTGTAGATAGTGGAATCTCCCTTGCGTGTAAGAACTCGGCTTCAGCATTGAATACTCGTTTAGGATCATTAAAAATGACAGATGACCTCACGGTGGTTAGGTTTTGCGCGACTCTATGTGTCAACTCTGTATGTCTTTGTAAAAAGTAAGAATACCACTTTTTGCCAGGTCTTCCATTTTTGAAACTATTTGCACGTTTGTTAAGTTTGAAAATTAATTCTACAGAATCAATGAGCTGAAGCTTTGATTGCTGAAAAACCACGATCAGAAATATAAAATAACCATTTGACCAACAGATTTCTTCATCAGGGGTTAAATTTGTAGCAGGTCCCTTCCTGCATTCTCTAGGGTATTTACCACTTTTTTTATATATTAATGTAGTTCTTGGGATCCCATATTTTTGCTTGTTGTGGCAACCGGTATTCCTTTGTCAATATCTGCCAGGGCTTTACGTAATGTCCAATTAGAATATATTCTTTGGCAATGTCAACTGAAATACAAAGAAAATCTAAATTATTAAACAAATATGGACCCAGTAGCTGACATATGTTAGTAACCGATATCAGACATGGGTGTCAGCGATTGGTACAATATTAAATTATAAAATTTTGGTTGCATTTACAGGGTTATTTACGTGCTTCCTACTTAAATATTCATTCAAAGTATAAAAACATCTGAAACCCGATAGCTGACACTAGTGTAACTTACTGGATACTCGCTCAGATCTTGTACCAATAACTGACACCCCCTATGTAAGCTAACTTTATTAACATAAGGTAATTTTAACAACAAATACGAACATTTATATTACCGTTAAATGGATCTACACTAAAAGACTTTGTAGTTGTACAAATTCTTCTGATAAATATCCAATATAATTATTGTAATAAATATTTTCGAGCACATTATAAACCACTCAACAATCTAAAACCTTTTGTAAAAGTTTTTAACGCTTAAGGTCCAGAAATAATGATCACGGACAGCATTGGAAACCGCAAAACGTTTGCAAAAATATAGATTTGTTTTAATGAGGTGCAGGACTTCAATTCCGGAAGGTTTGCTTTTATTATAGTCCAGACAAAACAATTCGAGTTGCTAGACTCTCGTTTAAAGTTCTATAAACAAGACAAAACTTTTATAAACAGGACATTTCACAAATGAATTGGTTGGCACAAGAATCTCTTATTGTCACATTATTTATTATTAGTGTTACACTGATCAGTTTGGTGGAAACATATTAAGATTATGCTTTTGATAAAAAGTTTTAAAGTCCAATAAAAATTAAAATTTAGTTAGAATTGTAGTATGACATTTTTAATACCCATTTTTTTTATTTTCAGATGTCCATGCTCGATCCACGTCAAACCGATCCCACCAAACGTTTGCGCTCCCTCTCGGTTGCTCGCGATACTCTTGTGTTAACTCGTTTGGTACAAGAGGGCATCTACGGTCGAATATATCAAGGAACCTATGGAAATCATCCAGTCACCATTAAATCCTTAAATGGTAAGTACTAATTCAGTCAATAGCCACTAGATTGCGCCTCAAGTACAAAAAATTCATAATAAATAATATTGGTTAGTAGAAAAAATGGAACAGAATGTTTTAAAATATTACAGTTTGCCTTTCGAATTTGTTCCCAACTGCAGGCATTGATATCAGGATAACAGAAATGAGAAAATAAATTTGATTGAATTGTGCAAACTACCTTACAGTTTTCTACTTTACCGCCACTATTTGCGTGTTCTTCTCTTTCGATTCAGTTAGTTCGGTATTTTCTACATAGATGGCGCAGGTAGTTATATAAAGAGCCAAAAACAATATGTCATTTATTTTACCACGCTTTAACTAGTGGCTTGATACAATAGTTAACTATTACTTTTAAAAACTTTATGTTATAAAAATATCTAAATAATCCATTTACAATCCTAAGCTTTTTAAAATAATTGCCTTAAATAATATCGGTTTTATTCGGAAATAGGTATCTTAGAATTCTTTTTGATATCCAAAAACTTATGACTTTGTAAATGAGAAAAGAAAGAGAAAGATATCCTGAAAAAAAAATAAGTACGAAAACAAAAAGTTATTTCTGGAACAGAAATTAATAAAGCATATGGAAACAAATTTGCAAGTCAAGAATCTGCCAAGAAATACAAGGAGAGTGAAAAATTAAGTACAAAATATACAAAGATATTCTAGAGATGAGTAGGGATACCTCTTTATTAGCCGAAAAATAAGGGATTTAATTTAATGTTTTTTTATAAAAATATTCATTTATATTTTAATTTATAATTTATTTACCCAAATTTAGCCAGACGGCTCACACTCCCTCTAAGGGGAAAATTCATTCATCCCAGATACCTACGGTATCAAAATGATTGAGCTCTGGTGGGACTCTTTCCGTGTTATAGAGCCTTAGATGACTTGGTATGTTGGAGTATCTCCCAAAAATTTTCGTACGCATCTGGACGTCGCGAGGAATACAGCTTTCTGCATGGCCTTATAGTGATGTTCATTTAGACCCAGCTGTTTTATGTTCTCTAGGAGGTTTTTGGGAATTACACCAATAGTAGATAGAACAAAAGGTACTGTCTGGGTACTTTCCATTCTCAATTCTCTCCGGATTTGTATTTCTAGATGTTATATTTCTCTGTACTTGGCGATCTTTTCGTTGTATTTAACACGTAAATTATTGGTATTGGGTATCGCCACATCAATAAGTGTTGTTTACCTAGTAAGTTTATTAACTAGTAGGAAATCCGGTCTATTATACGCCACTGGTTGATCTGTAAGCCTATAGCTTGTAGTTGTCATTTTTAAGCATTCTGTCAAAGACGTATTGATAATAAGGAATATGATCGGTTTGGAGAAGTCCCAGTTTGTCGAGATGTTGGATGGTTTCTTGGGCTTGGCGTCCATATCGGCATTTGTCATAGCTGAGATAGTGAGTTAATCGCTAAACAGACCCAAAGACGACTTAACGTGTCCCCTTGGAAAAGGCCCCGATTAATTGGGATATCTGCAGTTTCGATGTTGTTTTCACCAGGTATTTGAAGGTGAATTTTAGTCTTCCACTCCGTCATTATAAGCTTTAAAAAGGTCACTATATTATCATCGACTTGAAGAACAGGAAACTTTCTTCAAAACGACAGCGGGCAGCTTATCACGGATGACAAGGAAATCCCAAAAATCTGGAAGGAATACTTCTATCAACTATTGAACGAGCAATCTAGCAGAACTACATCAAACATAGAGGTATATACAGCTGAAATAGAAGACCAATACCCGACATACGAAGAAGTAATATAGGTGATTAAAAAACTTAAAAATAATAAGACACCAGGAAGTGATGGTATACCCGCAGAGTGCTTAAAACATTGAGGTGAAGCGTTGTACAATTCTATATACAAGCTAATTCAAGACATTTGGCGAGAAGAAACAATGCCAGATGAATAGAAAGAAGGGGTTATTATACCAATAGCCAAAAAAGAAAACAAAAAGCAATGTATTTACTACAGGGGAATAACACTCCTAAACACCTACAAAATCCTTGCAACCATCCTGCTAGAAAGAACCAAAACATACACAGAAGAAATTGTTGGAGATTATCAATGCGGATTTAGACCGGGCCGCTCTACTATTGACCAGATATTCAAAATAAAACAGATAATAGAAAAATGATGGGAGCTTGATCGTGAGCTTCACAGATGCTCATAGATTTTAAACAAGCATTTGATAGAGTATGCAGGGACAGACTGTGAACAGCGATGCAGGAACTTGACTTTCTAAAAACACTCGTCAGGTTGATACGAATGTGTATGGAACGGTTACGATGTAAGGTGAGAGTTGGACAACAATACTCGGAGACATTTGAAATAAACAATGGACTAAAACAGGGAGATGCACTTTCACCACAACTCTTCAACTTAGCTCTGGAGCACATAATTAGAAGTGCAAGAATCGAAAGACCGAATACAGTATTTCATCGAGAAGGACCAAACTTACTACTGGCATTTGTAGACGATATCGATCTAATAGGAAACACACGATTAAGGATGAAGGTGACTTTCGTTAGGTTCGAGAAGGAAGCAGAGAAGATGGGGCTTCAAATCAACGAAAACAAGACGAAATATATGTATATGAGCCGCAATAACCAAAGCAGAGACAGAATCAGTCAGAACATCACCATCGATGACTTTAACTTTGAGCGCGTTAGAAAATTCAAGTATCTTGGAACAACAATAACTGAAGACAATAACGGATTACAAAAAATAAACAGCAGGATTCAGGCCGGCAACAGATGTCTGTTTGCCCTCCAAAACCTTATAAAGTCGAAACAACTAACAAGACGTACGAAGATACAGATCTATGAAACATACGACCCGTTGTGTTGTATGGAAGCGAAACGTGGACGATAACAAAGGCAAACGAAGAGAGACTATGTGTTCGGGAAAGAAAAATCCTAAGGAATATCTTTGGTCCTATGCTTGATAAATCATCTGGACAATATAGGATATCAACTAACAAAGAGCTCGAAGGACTTTACCCAGACACCAACATCATAAAAGAAATAAAGTTCAGAAGACTCCAATGAGCAGGACACCTCAGAAGACATTCTGACGAACGAACAGTAAGACTCGTGTGGGAGGAGGTCCCAACTGGAAGGAGACCACGCGAACGCCCTCGTCTCCGGTGGCGAGATAGTATAGCAGAAGACCTAAGCACTATGGGCGTGGAGAATTGGTTGTAGATTGCTAAAGACAGAAAACAGTGGAGGCATGTTGTCGAATCGGCTAAAACCCTCGAAGGGTTGTAACGCCACGGAGTAAGTAAGGAGTAAGTAAGAAGTTAGCATAAACAGAAAAAGTCAAAGTTCACCAAGACAATGGAAGTAGTGGATAAAAGAAAATATTTTACAATATGTATATGTACATATATACATTATATACATCTTGCGTATATTACTTAAACGATGAATAAAATTATAAAAATTTCTACGCTTTTGGTAATTTCAATTTTCCTTCGTTTTATCTGGACATGTAGATCAGCAAAGATAATAAGTTCGCATTCACTTTTGAGTTAATATATACAGCACTATTGTTTGCCATAAATAGACAGCGAATGATATCATGGTGGATTTTTTTGTTGCTGCGATATTACAATTTTTATATGAAGCATATCAAGATATGTTAATGCGAATAATTTTAATAGAAATATTCTCGGGAGACAGATAAAAAATTTACAGGGCCATCTGAGGCAAAACTTGTTAACGAGATGGATGTGAAAACGAGATACTGAAACAAAACTTTTAAATTATTAATTTTAACATATTGAAAAAGAATATTGGAATACATAGAAACGTGTGTGTTTTGAAAAATATTTTGAGTAGAGTAATTTAAATTTAAGAGGAAAAAAGGAAGAAGGAAAAAGTGTTCTTAAAAAATACAACAAAAAATAGTTCATTCAAGTATTTTTCTAGTAAGTCTTCTTTCAAATTCCTCTAATCATTACGTCTTAGATATCTTAACAAATACTTTTTCGTGAGCATCATCTCTTTATTTTCGCAAATTCTTCTTCTGGTTCTCTTCTAAATCTTCTGATATATTTCCTTCAATTTAAATTTAAGGGACTTGAACTTGTTCCACTACAAGCTAGCAATTACTCTTGAAAGAGTATATCTTTCATCTAGATCGATTTTTTGAGTATTTCTATAAGTTTGTTGTAATATGTGTTAAAAACTTTTTCATAATCAATAAAATAGGTATAGACATCAACATCATAGGTATAGCCCAACATGGTAGGGCACTTCATTGCCCTGGAGCATAGAAATTAACTCCGAAGACGGAAGAACTAAATTAGTTAACGGCATTAGGATGTGGAAAGCCAGGGGATGACTACCACATTAATGATCCATAAGGATATCCTTAGTAAAAATCATCATGGATCCACTAATGGATAATTTACTTAATAATACTCCGACAGGGGAGGGCAATCAAATTTAGACGACAGGGCCTCTCAGGTCGTCATCAAGGTAAATCCCTGTCAAGCAAATAAGAATATATCTATAGCCTTGAAAATCGGAACATACCAAGTTTATACCAATCAAGCAAACTGGATAACGCTGTGTCGGAAATGTTCAGAATGAAAATTAACATACTGAGCCTTAGCGATATACAATGGCCTGAATCAGGAAAATGTAACACCAGAAATGGAACAATGTGTTATTCTGGAAACAAGGACTCCAAGCACCAACAGGGAGTTGGCATTATAGTTGATAATAATTCTCAGAAAGCTATTTGTAACTTTGTTCCCTACTCTAATAAGTATTAATGCTGTCTCTAAACTCACATTTAAAAGGTAAAATAAATATAATCCAAGTATATGCACCCACAGCAGACAAGGATGAAGACACCATAGAGGTCTTCTATGAACAAATCGACAATGTCTTAAGGCTAACTAAAAGACAAGATATAAATATTATAATGGGTGATTTGAACGCTAAAGTGGACCAAGGAGAAGTGGAGAATTTCGTGGGGCGATATGGACTCGGGGAAAGGAATGAACGTGGCGATAGGCTTGTCGATTTCTGTGCCAATGAGGAACTCATAATTACAAATACCTTGTTCAAACTTCCTAAATGTAGACTATATACATGGAGGTCACCAGCTGACAATAACAACAAAATAGTCAGAAATCAACTAGATTATATTATCGTCAACAAAAGATATAGAAATTCTATAATATCATCTAAAACTCATCCAGGAGCGGACATCCTCTGATCACAACCCGGTTGATTTGTCGATGCGAGTGAAACTAAAGAAGGTCAACAGCCCTAGCACCAAGAAAATCATGGATACAAGACGTCTCAAACAAGACAACACATATGCGGAAATGAAATTTAAAATAAACGAGAACTTAAGGAAAATCAAAGAAGATAATGCGGAAACTATAACTATTGACCAAAAATGGGGAAAAATTCCCTCAAAACACTTGGAGAAAAAACAAAACCTTGGATGACAGTAGAACTTCTTGAACTTATGGAAGAACGAAGAAAACATAAAGCAAAAGACCTGAATAAATACAAAGAAATTCAGAGAAACATCAGAAAGAAAATTCGAGAGGCACAAGAGAGGTGGCTCTCCGACAGATGCAAATAAATAAAAGATCTGGATAAAAAGTATAATAGCTTTAATTTACACAAAAAAATCAGAGCAATGACAGCTTCTAGAAAACGTACAAGAACGAATATCCTTAAAATGATAAAGGGGATATTATTACTGATATGAAGAAGAGATTATGTCACTGGATCAATTACATCCAATAACTATTTAATGATAAAGGAGAAGAACTGTCATTAGAAATCACGGAATATACCGGACCACCAATATTAAGAGAAGAAGTCATCTATGCTATCAAAAACACAAAAGAGGGTAAAGCTACTGGACCAGATAATGTGCTCATCGAATTATTAAAACTCATCGATGAAGATGTTCAAGAAGTGCAGCAGAAGAGTCACACACTTGAAACATTTTTGAAAATAATTCACAGCAGAATTGTTAAAACTCTTGAATATGAAATTAGTCATCGTAATATTCTCGAAAACGTACAGCGGCAGTGCACTAGGATGTCTTTTGGTCGCTGATGACCTACGTATACAGAAAGACTGAATATGGCCAATCTCACTACATTTGAACAACGTCGACTTCGAGGCGATTTAATTATAATGTTTCAGATAGTAAATAAAACTTTGGAAATGTGGGGGATATGTTTATACTAGACAATGACAATCGTCTTCGTGGCCATAAATTTAAGTTTAAAAAGGAAATTTTTTTAACAACAACTAGACAATTTTTTCTCTGTATTCCAGTGTTCTCGATATGGAGTAGCCTTCCGGCTGAGATCATAGATGCTCCATCTGTCAATATTTTCAAACATAAACTGGATGACCATTTGCTCCATAGTTGAACATTTAACTTGTACTAAACACTTGCTATTACCTATGTTTTTGTATATTTATTTAGTTAGTTAGTGCTTAATATGTAACTATTGTAATGTAACCATTTAATTACACACTATATAACATTGTATTCACATGGGCATATGGGTTTTGCGACTCCTGCTCAAATGTATTGTAAAATAAATAAATAAATAAATAAATAAATAAATATATGCTATATACCAAGTCCTAAGTTTTAAATTTGCAATAAATGGGAAATATGTCACGGATCGAATTTTTTGAACCTGAGTGTATTCCCAAACTGCCGTATAGTTTTAATATCGAGTATCCCTTGATTCTAAGCTCTACTTTAAATTTAAAACGCAACTACATGCTACTATTAAAATTTACCAGAACTATCCTAAATATTTTTTTTTATTACAGAAACTGCATCTAAAAGACTGGTTAGTTCATTCTTGGCCGAGGGTAGCATGTTTTATGGCATGGAACACAAAAACGTCTTGACCATACTCTGTGCTAATTTGGACGACCCGAAACAACCACTACTCATTTATCCCTATACCAACAGGGGAAATTTAAAAAAGTAAGTTTTGTGCAACCCTTAAATTGATATGTTATCTATTTACGATAGGCATGGGCGTAGTTATTGTAATTTAAGATAACGAATTAAAATATAAATGAAAAAAAAAACATACTTGCTAGATTTTACCATTTCTGACTTTCATATTTCGTACTATTGTAAATTTGTCATTGTAGCATTTTTTTTCCTGTGAGCGTTTAATTAATTATATAATTATTTCATTTATTCGTACAGCAACATTAAAGGTAAAATATGATTTATGACTGTATGATTGAAATATAAATATAAATGATTGTAATTTTACACACTTTTACTATTCAAGGTTTCTTTTTTTAACTTCCTTGCTTCTACGATCACGCTTTTCATCATTTTTGAATTACCAATTACCACTTCTTTTTTAAACACTTCGCTGAAAAAATTCCTGTCTCTTCTCAACAGTACCGCACTAAGGAGGAGTACCTTATCAATGTTCGGTTTTTCTAAACATTACAGCTAACTTTTTTTTTATTAACAAAATCGTACCAGCCAAATTGGCTATTAGCGAAACAATGATAGCGAACAATAATTTATATTACATTTATAATGTTAGAATGTTAGTTTAGATAGCATTTAAAACGTTAGTTGAGGTTGAGTAACTTTTTATATTTGAAATATTGCACTGTAGACCTAAAATATCACTTAGTTTGTTCGGTTTACTGTACAACATGCATAATATATGTTTGGTTGTTAATTTTTCATCACAGTTGTCACATCTTGGTTCTTGTTTGTTGGAGAACACGTATAGTCTAGGCGGGATCTGTTTTGGATTGGAAATTTTCGAGGGAAGCTATTTTTTTGCTGGAATCCCTTCAGGATATGCCCAGTATCGATAATCACGATATGCGCCAGTCGCAAACCCTGTGCTAAATTTTTTATTTAACAAAATCTGAACACAATTGAAAAATTCTAATTTTTTTGCTCCTATTTTCATTTATAATTCGAAAAATATTGATCTTAGAGAAAAAATTATAAGTAGTTAAAAGTTTCATTATTAAATTTTACACAATATTTTGTTAGCTAGAAGTTGAAAATTTAATGGTTATTGTTGAAAAAATAGCAATAATTGGAAAAAAAGTACAAAAAATGAAGTTAATCCTTTAAATGTTTTCGACTTTCTAAACTTGACTTACAAGTTTCATATTCCGCCTAGAAAAACTTTTTAATATGTTTAAAACGTGTGCTAAATTTTAGGCCCTAAATAAGGCCTTCAGATAGTTGCAATTTTTTTTACATATAAAGGAAGTCTCACACTTTCAAACGCTTTTTGTAAAATTCAAATCGGTTTACTAGGAAAGCCTATAAATTTTTTTAAAGTTATAAACATTTTTTAGGCTTATAAACAAATTAAATAACTTTACGAGCTTTAAACATATCAATTTCAAAATGTCTACACTTAAAGAACATTAAAAGACGCTTCTTTTAAGAAACAAAAAGATACATTCGGCTTACTGGTTGCCGAGATATTGAAGGTCAAAGTTGGTATGCATTTGCCGTGTAACCATAAGTGATAGAGGGCTCGTTTTTAAACAAATACCCTCGTATTGCCAAATACTTTTTATATGAAAAGTTTTACGTAATGCGCTTCATGGCAACATCCATAAAAAAGACAAATAAAAAACCGTTTTCGCGTAAAATGTCGCTCGGAATCCATGAGAGGTGGTGGTGAGGGACATTCACTTCAAATGTGAATCAGCGAGTATCAAGTAGGGGACCATCACTTTGTTAAATTTCAGGTTTTGAAATATAAACAAAAGTAAAGTGCTCCAAAATCTGTAAGGGCTTGTAAAGTAAATTGTTACTTTTAGTAAACAAATATGTATTTATAAATTGTTAATAAATAATTTGAATTGTTAAAACGAAGGAATTTTTTTTTGTAAAAATCAAACATTTTAAAATAATTAACATTAAAAATAATTTATTTCTGCAGTTTTATCATAATAATGACATTATTTGATTTGAGAATATATTTTGATTCGAAAGTGACGTGTATATTGTATATTGACGTGTTATTATACTGCTGTGTAATGCTCGAAATTGTATTTTTTTGAGCTTGCAATTTATACATTGAAGTAAATAATTGTTACTTTTAGTAAACAAATATGTATTTATAAATTGTTAATAAATAATTTAAATTGTTAAAACAAAGGCGAATGAAACAAAAAATTTCTTTTTATAAATAATCTTTATTTTGACTCAATCTTCAATAATTTTTTTTAAGTATTTCTCTTTTTCTGGAAGGACAAGTATCTTCAGGTTTTATTTCTTCCTCAAAACCTTCATTTTCCATTTCAATATCTTCATCCTCGATCTGTAAATTTAATGTTTCTTCTCCTTCATCTGTAGCTATATCTTGTGCCTCCAAAAAATCTAAGGAATCCATCGACTCCATATGTATATCTCGTTCAACTTCTTCCAATATTTTATTGTGATCAATATTTTTACATGTTTGACCATTGCAGTGAAGACAATAGTCAGAACATTTGAGACCATGTTTGATACAACTGCATGTTTTTGTACAAAGTTTTTTACATTTGCAACTAATATTTCTGAATAATGAGTCAGGTAGTAATACTTGCTCAGTTTGTATTGGCTCAAGACCATTTTGAGTTAGTTCCCACCCCCACTCAGTAGCATTCAGGTTATTTCCAAGCCACTGCTGTACTTGGAAATATACACGAAGCGAGTGTTGCTCAGCTGCAGATTGTGTAGGTGGCAGCATGGACAATTGAAAATTTTTATTTTTGCAACCTTTTTTAAAGCACAAGTAGCGAATTTTATTCAATGTAAAATCGCACTTTGAGTGGCCCATATACAATGCCGATATAATTTTGCATCCGTTGCGTTTAATTTCTTCCTTAGTTGCAATTTTTTCATTAAAAATGGTTGCTTCTTGCCATATATAATTATTTGTTGAAACCAATTTAACAATTTTGCTTTTTCCTTGATAAAAAAATGCAGAGGTTGTATCACAACCAGAAAATGCGTGTAAAAAGCCCACTAAATTTTTTAACGAAGATTTCGTAGATTCACTTATTTTAAGTGCATTATTGAAAGAGTTGTAGTAATAAATTTCTTCCGATTTTTTTCCTTTGCTAGGTTTCCAGAAAAAAATATTTTTATTTTCAGTTACTTTTTGTAAAAATATTACCAGAACATCAATATCCTCTGCAATTTTAAAAACTGGCTTGTTATCTGAGGCTAATATATACTTGATACTCGCCGATTCACATTTGAAGTGAATGTCCCTCATCACCACCTCTCATGCATTCCGAGCGACATATTACGCGAAAACGGTTTTTTATTTGTCTTTTTTATGAATATTGCCATAAAGCGCATTACGTAAAACTTTTCATATAAAAAGTATTTGACAAGACGAGGGTATTTGTTTAAAAACGAGACCTCTATCACTTATGGTTACACGGCAAATGTATGCCAACTTTGACCTTCAATATCTCGGCAACCAGTAAGCCGAATGTATCTTTTTGTTTTTTAAAAGAAGCGTCTTTTAATGTTCTTTAAGTGTATACATTTTGAATTTGATATGTTTAAATCTCGTAAAGTTATTTAATTTGTTTATAAGCCTAAAAAATGTTTATAACTTTAAAAAAATATATAGGTTTCCTAGTAAACCGATTTGAATTTTACAAAAAGCGTTTGAAAGTGTGAGACTTCCTTTATATGCAAAAAAAATTGTAACTATCTGAGGGTCTTATTTAGGGCCTACTATGAATTTGAAAATTTGCGATTTTTTTCCAGTAGGCTGGATTGCAAAATTATTTTGCAAAACCTATCCGACCGATCTTAACAAAATTTAGCACACGTTTTAAACATATTAAAAAGTTTTTCTAGGCGAATATGGAACTTGTAAGTCAAGTTTAAAAGTCGAAAACATTTAAAGGATTAACTTCATTTTTTGTACTTTTTTTTCCAATTATTGCTATTTTTCAACAATAACCATTAAATTTTCAATTTTTAGCTAACAAATATTGTGTAAAATTTAATAACGAAACTTTTAACCACTTATAATTTTTTCTCTAAGATCAATATTTTTCGAATTATAAATGAAAATAGGAGCGAAAAAAATGAGAAATTTTCAATTGTTTTCAGATTTTGTTAAATAAAAAATTTATCACAGGGTTTGCGACTGGCGCATATCGTGATTATCGATACTGGGCATATCCTGAAGGGATTCCAGCAAAAAAATAGCTTCCCTCGAAAATTTCCATTATGGTCTGAATTTCTACAGATGCCGCCTAGTCTAGTAGCTATTCGTTAGTCGAGTATGACCCAGTAGAAGTCGCGTTAATATTATCTGGTTTCTCCGATTTGTTGGTAATGTGGGCCAGGGTTTTCTCGATTTTTTAACATCACGTAGCTTGGCCGATGACACTTTCCACTTTTCTTTCCACATATATCGCACTTTTAACTTAACTGCCGCTTTCACGTCTGCACTCGTAAATGTTTTAGTACACTCCGCACTATCACTACTTGCAGCTTCTTTTGCAGCGTTGTCTGCCTCTTCATTTCTGGAATTCCAATATGGGATGGTATCCAAAATAATATAATATTTTTTCCATTCAGTTGAGCGGTATGGATTTCTTCTTTTATCTTGATGACTAAAGGATTAGTTGGGTAGACATATTGGATTAACTGGACGGAACTTAGAGAGTCTGTGACTATAATATAATTGGTATTATTGGATGCGTTGACAGCAAGGGTGGCCTGGTATAGAACATACAGGTCAGCAGAGTACATGGAGTATTCTGAAGGGAGTTTGTATTTATTTGTCAATTGTTGGGGTTATGACTGCAGCACCAGTACCTTCATCTGATTTAGATGCATCTGAGTATATATGTGTATAATCCTTGTAGTTGTGAAGCATATTGTTGAAGGCGGATTTGATTACGTGTGGGTTTGTTGAATGTTTGTCTAAGGAATTAAGGCGGGTTAGGCACTGAGGGTTC